CACTTAGTTGGGAGAGTAGGAAACCTGGTAAATATTAGAGACATTGAGAGAGAAAAAGAAAAGAGTGGGGCAGGGAAGAGGCAGTTTGGAATTCTGATCACATAAATTTACATGCACTAAGATCAGAAAAAGAAGTATATAGCACAATATTTTAAACAATATTTAACAAACAAACAGGCAAGATATGACTCACTCAATACAGGAAAAGTTAAAAAAATTTTAAAAATTTAGTAAAGATTTCTAAATATATGGAAACTATACTGTCAATACAATGAAGCAATGGAATAAAATGAAACAAGAGGAGCGCCGCATATGATGTCGGTAGATTACTTATTCCGTGAGGAACACTCGCTAAAATCTTTGCACACCTAGCCGTGTCTAGCGTCTTCCAGCTCCTGCACGCAGGCGTCTCATGCCCAGCCTAGAGATGAGGGCATGAATGGCACACTCGGATGGCAACGGTGCGGGAACATTGCCATCCGAGTGTGCATTGGCTCTCAGGTTCCCCATGCTGCAGCGAACACTGAACAAGGTCTCAGCCCTGTTCCTCGGGCATTAATTCCAGGACTGAGCATTTGCTCCCATCTCTGTATTTTTGAAGTTATTAGCCTGCTTCTCTCTCTGTTGGAATGTCACGTCCATGCCCCAGTAGTTTCAAGGTAAGTCAGTGGGAATCAGGAAAGCCTTGTTATTTACTAACATTTGCTCCGGGAATACGACTATTTTGTATCTTCCATCTGCCCTCTCCCTTTTATGTGTCTTCAGACAGACAACTAGGAAACCCTTATCCAAGACAGCATTAGTTAAAAAGGAGAGAAATGCATGGTAATTAGGGTTAGTGGGAAGAGGATTGGCTTTTGTGTGTGTGTGTGCTTGTTTTGGTTTTGGTTTTGATTTGGTTTTTTTCCTGCACTCTAGCCCAGTCTTCTTAAGTTGGTAATTAATTAATGAGTCATCCTCACTCTCAGACCACTAAGTAAATTAGTGGTAGGAGCTAAAGCATCTATCCACCTAATGACCTGCCTTTATTGGGAAGACTTCCTAAGGAGAACACAGCTCATTGAATGTACTTCAACTGAGCATAAATCATTCACAGTGCCACGGCTCTTCCTGATTATACAGATCTGTACAGGGTTTTCCACATACAAGTACATTTCTATGTAGATTTTAAATGTACATTTTAAAGGGCTGGCCAGATAGCTCAGCAGACTAAAGCACCTGCTTAGGCAGAGCACAGTGGCCAGGGTTCAATCCCCTGCCTGCTGTGCCAGCCCTGCCCTCCCCTCCCCCCCGCCCCGGGTGATTGAGACTGGGCACAGTGGTACGCACCTGCAATCCCAGAACTGGGCCGGCCAAATAGTTTGGCAGATTAAAGTGCCCAGGGGCAGGGGTTTAATCCCCTGGTCTGCCATGCTGGCCCCGCCCCCAGGGTGCACTGAGATGGCTATTGAGATTGGGTGTGGTGGCTCGTGCCTATAATCCCTGCACTTGGGAGGCTGTAAACAAGCGGATCACTATGAGTCCAATCTAGTAGTGAGATCCTGAACACCCTGTAGACCCTTCCCTAAAATACAGGAAAAAAAGAAAATATAATCCCAGAATTTGGGAGGCTGTAAACAGGAGGATCACTACAAGTCTGATCTACACAGTGAGACCCTGTAGACTCTGTACTAAATACCAAATAAATAAATAAGTAAATAAATGTACATTTTATCAATTTAGACATGTTTATAGTATTTTCCTAAGTAGTGAAATAATCTTTTCGTTTTGAAGTGATAACCTTCATTTATCTTAAAACTAATAAAGACGCCTGTTACTATTGACAAATAGGCATAGCAAATTTCAAACAGTAACTCTGATACAATCTTAGTACCTTAAGTCATTCCATAAAGAATGTTATACATGCATCTGAATCGGTGAAACACCCCATGACAGATCTGACAGAGGGATACAAGAGCGGTGAAGAAAAGGATTTGCAGAAGAAAGGCTAAGAATGCTAAGTATCACAACATGTTTCCAACCAAAAAGCAAAACAGAAAACACAGTACAGTACCAGGGCATATAATACAGCTGTGTATATGTGCAATAACAAGATATCAACTAACACCGAATTTCTAAAACATAACCACTACTTACAAGCAATAAGATTATTTTTAAAATGTGCTCTTTTGTACTCCCTAAATTTTCTTCATTAAACACAAAACTTCTTCTAATCTTAGGTAGATAGATTACAGTGAGATTGAAAAATATTTTAAAGACATAATCATGTCAAAGATACACAAATATGAAGTGCTTTTCAAGTTTGATACCAATTATAAATTGTGTTTAAGCAACTTCTAGTATTGGAAATTCTTTTAGCTCAATATGTCTTTTTTTCAAAAAATTTTATTTGATTGATTGATTGATTGATTTGGTAAAGGGTCTCATGCAGCTCAGACTCATAGTGATCCTCCTGTCTCAGCCTGCTCAGTACAGGGATTGTAGGCATATACCAACACACCCAATTTCAGTGGCTGGCATGCCAGGGGATCGAACCGGGGACCTTGCACTTGCCAGGCAGGCACTTAGACTGCCAAGCTATCTCCCTAACCAACATGCAGTTCTTTATTCTCAAGTGATATACTAGTTTTCTCATTCATGGTCAAACTCAACACAAAGTAGGAAGATTTGGGTAGCAAAGGAAAGCATTATTTCCCCTGAAGGGATGGGATTCAAGCAGAAACACTTTATCACTATAGGCAGTGCAGTGTTTGATGCCACTTAATCAGTATTTGTCATACTGGTGTGGTTTGAAAGCTAACTTTGTGAACTTTTCTATTTCATTCATCTATGTGTCACTTCAAAAAACATCCCGTAAAAGCCATAAAACTTACTCCCTTGGCTTCGTGCTCACAAGAACTCTTAGAGGCTTTCTGCTGTTTAAGCACGATTTCAGGAAGCAATCCACTTCATTGAAAGGTCTCATAAAAACTAGGTCACCATTAATGGCAAAAATCTTTTTCCCAACTTCCATGCCAGCCATCTAAGAAAGAAACAGAAAGATAATTCAAATGATAATTTAGTAAAGAATATTAAGTGTTTCACAAAATTAGAATCTGAAAAATTTGAGCTTATAAATTTTGATATTTTAAAAACATCTTCAACGTTTTTATATAAACCCTGTAACTGAACTATGAATGAAATAACACAGTTCTCATTCTTCTTGGCCTAGTTCCAGATTTGATCACATAGCTATACTGAAAGTTTTCCTCTTCCTCTTTGACTTGACATTGTTTGTATTCTTCCTTTAATGTTTTTTTTTCCTTTTATAACTTTTAACCCCTGTATATAATGTGATCAAAATATGCAGTGAATATTTAATTTTCAAATATTTATTGCAGTAAAACACTTATCACCTTTAATCCTCTTCAAAACACTCTCCTTCATTTCAAACACACTTATCACACTATTCTCGCCACTTGCAAAAAGCAATCCTGGAAGTTCTTTTTCATGAGTGATTTTAACCGCATTGTCATGGTGGCCTCAATGTACTGACTCATTTCAAATATTGATTTTTCATGGTCATTTTCACGTTGAAAAAAAAAGCCCAATGTCATATAGCGCCAGAATCAAGTGCATAAAGACATAACGCACTGTTTTCACAGAGCTGCCTTTCTGTTGGTTGGCCCTTGGCAGACGCATTCACTATATTTTGATCACACGTGCATATTTTTCCCCTTGGTATTAGAGCATGAACTCAGAGCCTTAGCACCAAGCTGCATCTCTACCCCTTGATTTGGGACGTGGTCTGGCTAGGTTACTGACCTGCCTAGGCTCCTCCACTGCTGGCATGGCAGATGTGCACTACCAGATCCAGTCCTGGTTTCTATTTTTAATTTTTTTTTTTTTTTTCAGTACTGAGGATCCAACCCAGGGGCGCTATACATTGAGCTACATCCCAGCTCTTTTTAGGTTTTATTTTGAGACAGGGTCTCACTAGCACGTCCTGTAGGACTCACACCTGTGATTCTCCTGCCTTAGTCTCCCTCAGTGCTAGGATTACAGGCATGCACCACTGCCCCCAGCTCAGACTCTTTTTAAACCTAACTTTGGCTGCTGGCTAAGTGGTGAATACTAGGAGAGGATGTTTTATCAGCCCAATACCAACCTTAAGATGTGCTCTAAGAGGAGGTTCTGAAAATTTCTGGAAGAAACATAGGAATTTACTACCTATGGTCATTTATTTACCAGGTCCACTAACAGAATATGAGTTAAGAAGTTTTTTGTTTGAGTTGAGTGTGCTCTTACAGCTTTGTGTTGCATAAATGTGTGTCTTAGTAAAATACAGAGGCCTTGGGAATTAACAGATAGGAGGATAGGTGACAGTTATCACTAATTCTAAAAAGATTCAAAACTCTCCTAGTCTTTATTAAAGATCTGAATATTGAGCTGATTGTCTGAGGCTTAACTGTTCTTCAAGTCAGAGAGAAACACAATACTTTAGACCTGACAGGAAATAAAGCACTGAAAAGTAGGCTCCATTCAGTTAGAGAATTTTGTATATTTTGCTGATTTCTGTATTCCAAGAGGCCAGAATAGTTTTTTTTTTCTTTTCAAAGTTTTATTGATAAACATATAGCAATGAGACAGTTTCAAATCCAATCGGAAGTACAGTTTCAACAAATAATACACTGCATATATTCTTCTTAGTGGTTAATTGCTGTACAAGAAGTGGACTTGTGATACTATTTACAAACACCATTAGAAAAAATCATTCTATTCATTAAGAGAATGCAACTATATATCTATCCCAACCACTTTCAATACACAGATACAAAATGGACATTCATAGTTATACCCCATTTTTTTAAGTTGTTATTGAATATTATAGGTGTGTAAACTCAGCAAAATATTCTAAAAGAGACCAGTAGCCCATACTAGCATTGGGTCTTCTGTTTAACTGGCAATGTCAGAAATTATTGACCTGAGTCCCCCACAGCTCAACATAACAACATGGCTCAGTAGAATAAATGCTTCCCTGGCAAGCGCAAGGGTCTGAGTTCAATCCTCGGTTCCGCAAAAAAAAAAAAAAAATGGTACCAGAATACTGTTTAGCATGAAATATCTACTAAATGAAGATTTTGAATGATCAGATTCTTCTACTTAAAAACCCAACATTGTACAGTAATAATAATAAGCTTCTCTTCTGGAGGGTTAACAACTTAAGTTTGTAGACCAAAAATTAAAGAAAAAGAAGGGCTGCAAGGACAGCCAACATTTTGGCCCTAGCCTTTCAAGGTCAGTGAGGACTCAGGACATAGGAGAACCTGTACCGTAACATCCTGTAATTCAGTGATGTTCCAAATTTACTGATCAAGGAGATTATGGGGCCAAAGAGGAAAGTGATCAACGATGTAGGGTGTGCCTAAGGAGAGTCACATGGAGAGAAAACATTCTCTCAGGCTTTCACAAATTGGTCAAGCAATGGCCGCGACTCATCCACATGGCTGACACTCACAAAGAATCTACAAACTGCGGTACAGGGTTTCAGGATAAATCCTGAGGGGATTTGACTGACCTTGTCAGATACAAAAGTTACATTTCTTATTATATAGGTCTTGCTTTATCTTGGTCTTAACCATCCAGCAGAAAAGTATAAAAACAAAGTATAAAAAGTAAAGCCATATTAATATACTGAGCTATAAAAGGCTCAAGTCAACAACTTCTGACATTGCCAATCCTACGGAAAACCCACTACTATTAAGAACCACTGGGCTATATTGCAATATTTTGCTGAATTCATGACATACAATACTTAAATGAGAATGGAATACCCATCTCCAAAAAATGTAAACAAAAAGTGGACACAAATGAAGGACCATTTTGCATCTGTATATACAAAATACTTAGGATAGATGTACAGCTACTTTCTCTTAATTCATTGAGAAGAAAGATTTGTTTTAATAGTGTTTGTAGACAGGATATCATGTCTGCATCTTGTACAATGAATAACCACTAAGACAACAATATGCAATATATTAATTATTGAAACTGTCCTACTTATCGGTTTTGAAACTGTCTCAATGTTATTTGTTTCTCAATAAAATTATTTTTTAAAAAAACAGTAAAGTGAGACAATGTCAATCAGCATTAATCCAATGAGAAAATAAGTCAAAGCCTGTGCTTTGCTAATGGAAGTTACAGCATCAGAAAAGAAAGACAAAGGAGCTAGGAAGATAGAAGCCAGAGCCCATGGCTGAACAGAAGAGCCCAGTACCATCAGTCACACCCAGGGCCGGCCCCACAGGGATCCAGTTGGAATCTGGAACCAAGAAAAACCCAAGAACAAAGACTGAGCCACTTGACCTCCAACATATCAACAAGTTCAAAGCTGTAGAACTCTGGTATCACCCTTTCCTCAGTAATCCCTGACCTCCCAACAAAGGAGTAGTTGTCGCAAAACCAAAGGGTATTTGGTAGAACCTCAGAGTAAAATTATCTGGAGACACAGTCTTCAATAAGATATTCAGGGGGTGATTTCAGTATGTCATAACCTTTGTATTTGCATACCATGACAATAAATTTGAATAAATGTTAATTTGCATTACCTCAGCATTGGACCCCCTTTCTACCAACTTTATTATTGGAACTTTATTTTTGTCTTCTAGCCCAAAGCCATAGCTGCCTTCATTAGATTTAATCTGAAAAGAAGAACATTAACATTATTGACAAAGCAACTATGAAAATGTTACAAATAAAACAGAGTAAAGTAATATTCATCACCATCAAATATGCAGTCTCCTGTTAACGTCTAATCAAGAAGAAAACTTGTATCATAAATTAACAAGCATACCAGGAGAGATTTAGCTATGACGTTTTCCACAACTTTTAGATCATGTTTCATGAGCCGATGCTTCATATTTGACCCTTCCATTTCCTCATCCGCAAAAAACCGAAAAAGCAAGGGTTCATCTTTGAATTCACTTTTTTCAAGGACTACAAAAACAAAAAGATTCAAACTGTTTCAGTTAAATTGAAAATCAGATTCATTTTCCATGCCAACACACATAAATAGCTGGCCATAATCTCAACCTTGCAATCTTAGAATGTGTTGGTCACAGCTTCTATTTATTTCTATAATTTCAAGGCAGTAATTCCTTTAAAATACTGTTACCTAAAGGATTTTGGATTTTTAAATACATAGTAGCTTATAATCACAACTTTTCTGTACTTAAGTTTCTCATTATCCAGATTAAAATCCAAATTTAAGGCAAAGACTACAGTGCATCCTAAAATGCATGCAATCTTAACATAAGCCCTATCATGATTTCAACTTGCATTGAAATTTTTAATCATGCTTTTAATACCTGTACAATTATAAGAAAAATAAAATGGGTTAGATGTCACCCTTCTAGAATATGTGGGCAGTTCCCATTGGGATCACTTTGGCTCTAACACACAAAACCAGAAATATGTCTTCTGGGTGAAATGTGACTATTTGTTTCCACACGCTCCTAATTCTTTTCTGTTTAAAATAAATATTCTCAGGCTGACCAGATAGCTCAGCGGACTAAAGTACCTGCTTAGGCAGAGCACAGCAGCTTGGGGTGTGCTGAGACTGTGATTTTTTTTTTATTTTTCCATAATTTTATTGAAAAGCAAATAGCAATGAGACAGTTTCAAACCAAATTGGTAGGACAGTTTCAATAATTAACACATTGCATACATTCTTCCTAGTGGTTAATTGCTGAACAAGATGCGGACTTGATATCCTATTTACAAACACCATTAGAACAAATCCCTCTATTCATTAAGAGAATGTAACTATATAGCTATCCTAACCACTTTGAATACACAGATACAAAATAGACATTCATCTGTATACCCTTTTTTTGTTAATTCCATCATTAAATATTATAGGTGTGTAAACTCAGCTAAATATTCTAAAAAAATTCAGTAGTCCATAATAGTATTGTGTCTTCAGCTTTACTAGCAATGTCAGAAATTGTTGACCTGAAGCTTTCACAGAGAGACTGTGATTGAGACTGGGCATGGTGGCACGCGCGTGTAATCCCAGCACTTGGGAGGATGAAAACAGGAGAATCACTGAGTCCAATCTTCATAGTGAGACCCTGTAGACCCTGTATACCCTGTAGACCCTGTAGGCCCTGTAGACCCTGTCTTAAACACATACATACAGACATACATAAATATAAAAATAAAAAACAAAATAAAATAAATATTCTCGAACAATGTTATATCTACCAAGGTCTTTTTCTCCTCTTCATCTGAACATTAGTATTTTTCTTTAAATCCTTTAAGATTCCTCACATTAGCTGATGATATAAGGCTTATGTTTTGTTTGTCTAGTTCACACTAAGGTTAAATACTGATAGGAAGAATTTATATTGAATGAGATCTGTAGGCTGTCAAAATGTGTCTCAAGGGGAATCTCCTCTCTTTCTAATTCCAGTGTCCTTAGCACCTTGGAGGGTACTTGCTGGGACAGGTTGACCCATGCAGCCAAGAGTTAAAAGGAAAACAGCGGTGCCTGGGCACAGCAAAAGTCAGGCCAGGTCTGGGACTAATTCTGGGTATGACAATGACAAAATTACTTAACCTCTCTGAACTTTAGTTTTTCATCTATGAAGGCAATAAAGCCTTCATAATGTTGCATTAAATGCAAATGAAGTAATACATGTAAATAACTTGATTATACTATCTAATCAAAAACTATATCTAGGGGCTGGTGAGATGGCTCAGTGGTCTAAAGCACCTACTT